TGCAAAAATAAACAATCCCCAGCTGAAAACATTTCCAGTTGTGCATTTTTCATTGGGTCCCAGAAACTGGTGTGTGGGTGAGGGGGAGGATGGGCAAGTGTCCACAACTGAGATCTTCCTCAGCAACCTTCCTATACATTAGCACAAGCAGTCACATTTATCAAAGTCTTGATCCTGCCAATGAACACAAGAAAGGGAGAGGAAAGCAATACTTTCTGTTTCCCTGTTTCTCCTTTGTCAAGATTTTGAGACACAAATGCCTTTGCTACTTCCATGAAGATACTGAAATGTATACAAACAGAGGTCTGGGTACCAATCAGAACAGTGTGACATGGCTATGCTGATTGCAGTGATGTCACCACAATTCTGCCACAGAGGGAGGGGGACCAAAGTAACCAAGAGGCCATGGATCCAGCTTGACACTCACTGGGAGAGATCCCACTGGTTTTAAAAGGGACAGAGACACATAGATAAACAACTGCGCCTGATGGAAAAGTTCTTTCTAGTGTTTTAGTCGATGCTCATTTCATTTGAAGACAATGCCATGGAAATACAGTGCCCTATAATCTGAATTAAAACCATGAACTGTTTTTTGGCTCTGAAGCAAGTCAGCAGGGCCTACACTGTGGCATTAGGCAGTCACCCTCAGGCTGCTTGGTCTACATCCTTCTCCATTTTGGGGCCAATTCAAGCAGCAGGACTGTCTTTAGTTGTGCACAGACACCTGCACTTGTTCTGACATGGACTAAACAACAAAAAAAGCCCATAGATGTTGCTAAAAATATTTCACGCACCGGCATCCAAAGGTTTCTTGAACACTGCCTCACACCCACTGCTGGCATTTGAACTGCTGGCATCAGCCATGTCCCCATCAGACCCCACTGAGCTGCTGTTGCTTGCTTTGACACGGAGGGTGCTTTCTTTGTTAGCCTTTGGGGTTAAACAAGAGCAACAGTTGCCTGCTTTGTGCGGGGAGTGGTTGTTAGGGCAACTGGGAAGAATTCCTTGGCACCAGCACTAGCACAAGAAAGGAATGAGCAGAGAAATGTTCAGCCGGAGTCAGAACCGAGCCAAGGGGACGTGCTCTGCTCTGTTTGTGTCTGTGCCTCACCCCGTCCCACCCACAGCCGAGGGGCCCCGTGCAGCACAGGTGAAGCCAGCACACCCTGTGCAAGCATCTGCATGGCTCCCTGCAGCCCGGTGACCCCGGCTGTCCCCTCTGGCCCCAGAGCTCGTCTCCTGAGCTATGGAGCTGCTAAGAGGAATCAGGCCCTGAGATTTCACTCTGTTGCTGCTTGAACATCCCTTAAAAAACATATTCGCACAGATTTTGTCTTATGGTACTTGGCACGAAGCTGCTTGCGGTAATAAAGGAAACTTGGAAAATGAGCTGAGTTAGTGATTTTCAAATGGAAATAATTCTATTTTGGGATCATTTTCACTTTGAAAGATGGTTCAAAGGCGCAAGAGGAAAGGGCAGGGTTTGCAGTGAGCTGCCAGGTATGCAAGTGCAATTTTTTTAGTCTTCAGTGATTTTATTTTTGCATTGCATGTCTCCATGTAAAAACTACTCCCTTCATCAATTCATTTTCCCCAGCTCAAACCTCTCTCATAAAGAGACAATACATTTTATTTGGTTTAGCCTGCTGGTGTATTTACACAGCCTTACCATAAAGTGATCTGATTTCAGGTGATGGTGAGTTGATTAGCTGGTGTTAGAGCATTTGCTCTTAAAAACTCTGATGGGAGTCAGCTGCTGGTGTCTATATAAGGTGGGGGGAAGGAAGAGGAGTGGTAGAAGCAGGAGGTAGTGTCTGTGTTGTGGAGTTGTTTGCCTATTTGCTTAAAGTCTGCAGGGGGAGACTGGTGTAGTTTGTGCAGTGAGGGAGTGTAAGCTGTCTGCAAACATAGCAGCTGCTGGGGCAAGAAACAGCTGTGAGAGGGGGGGAAGGTAGGGTAGAATGTTGTCAGTAATGGGTCAGAGCCAAGGAGGAAAAGCCTGGTCCTGGAAAGCACAGTGCTGGGTGAGACAGTTTAGTATTGTAATAAAAGAAAAAGCTTCAGAAAAAGCTAGTTTTCTGAAGTCTATCCTTATCAGAGTTGTGTAAAACTATGCAGCGTTACTTACAGACTGAATTAGAGAAAAATACTAATCTTCTTTTGTTGCAACAGTTTGTTCTGAGGGGTGTGCTTTAATTTTCTCAAATTCAGATAGTCATATTTTATGGTTTGTCTGACTATTGGTTTGTATCAGCTATCTTTGTGCTTAGCCTATTGTTTCCCCAGTGATTTAATTCTTGACTTAAAAATAAACTGAAATACAAATTTTGGTGTGAAAATACTCCAAATTCTTTTTCTCTTGCTGGTTTAAAAAAACAAAAAACAAAAAACACTCCTGTACCAGTCAAAAGTTGTAGGATAAGTAAAACTGCTGAAGAGTTTTGTTTTGCATAAGCCATGATGTTCCAATGCAGTCAGCTCCTGGCCTGAAACTTTCCAGGCATGAGGCCAGACTTTGCTAATATACTAATGGGAGAGGGAAGTAGGGGAAAGCTGCTCCATTTGAGAAGTCTTTAGCTGCCCTCTGTCTAAACTCGAGTATCCTTTAAACTTCTCTTCCTGGCTTACAATGAGCAGTCAGAGCTTAATGGGTGGCAAAGGCTTCTTGAAGTAATGCCAGTAATTTACCTTTTGAAGGCTCTCAATGCTTGATTTTTCTGTGCCTAAATTCTTTTTTTGTTTTGAACAAGATTAAGAAATTATGAGCAGGATTTTTCTCCTAGCTTTCCTTACACTGGTTGAGTATATAGTAGAGGCAGCTCCGATGTCCCTGATTTAAGCATAGAAAGTCCCAAGGGCAGAGTCAGTAGAAGCCATGCAGCAGCTTCTTCTTTATGTCTAGCTGAAAATTGTTTTGGACCAAATGGCCTAAGAACACACAAACCAAACCTGGTTACAGTGCATGTGCTGTTGTAGAAGGCTTCTGACCACTCTTGCTGGCAGGAGGCTGACTCAGCCAGGCACACCGGCAGGAGCAGGGACCCTTTGAAAGGGTGTTTGGGGCTGAGGTTTGAGAAAGCTTCATTGTGGAGACACTTTAGGGATGTCTGTGCCCACAGTGAGATTGACTCACTGCTCAGTTAAACCTCTTGCAGATAACTGAGTGATTATTCTGTGGGGATACCACAGTACTCCACAGTGCAAGCAAACAGGATCACTGAGTCACATTAACCACCTCAATGTGCTGTTGGGCAGAGTTTCTATTGATAATCTTGCCAGTGGAGTTGGAGCTCCACTGAGATGGTGAGGCTTAGAAGAACTTGTGTATTGGCTTCTAACTCTTTCTGATGTTTCTTTCCTAAGGATAATCGCTGCACTAGGTGAGGCTGTTCTGCTGCTTCAATGCTTGTTTCTTGGATATGTAATAGCAAAGTGCTGGAACTACAAACAAGTTTAGTAGAGCATCTGTGTTAAGTGAGAGCCATGATACAGATCAAAGGTGGGTCTGATAAACTGAGCTGTTTTAAACTATCTGTTTAGAACAGTGCTTGGAGAGGGATTCCTCATGGTTCAGATTCTCTAGACCTTACCTCACCCATCCGTACTGATTTATTGAAGTCCAGCAATTCCTTCTCTGCATTAAATTCTAATTCTCCTGTTAACATTCCCTTTGCTTTTTTTAGTTTGTGCTGGCAGAAATGTCTGCTTGGAGTTTCTCCCATTTTCTGTCTGGTTTGGTCTCTGGTCCCTCTGTGACTACAGCTCTTTGCTCTAATTCTGATTTTCTGTCTAGACAGGTTTCTTTGTACTTGGAGTCCTCAAGAAAACCTGACTTCTGTGGCAGGCTGACCTAATTAAATCCCAACACAGGGAAAAGTCCTGTGCAAGGAGCTAGGCACAGCCTTGGGATCCAGCAAAAGCAAATCCGCCCTGCTCTCACAATCCTTCCCCCAGAAAGAGGGAAAATGTAGCACTTGTGAGCCCTTCTTGCTGTACACTGTTGATGACTTTGCTTCTTAAACCAGGACCATACAGATCCTGGTTGTGTACTTCAGTACCAAGGGTGATGCCCTCCCCATGCGATGGTTGGGTTTGAGCAGGGAGTAGCTGCCAGAGCTTGTTCCAGTGGGAACAACCAGGGCAGCTTCCCAGGCCAGGGGTGACCCAGCTGGGTTAAGTGAAATAATGGTGTGGGAAGGAAGGAAGGGAGGGAGGGCTGTAGTTTGATGTTTACCCAGGGTCCCTGTGGGCCTGTACATGTGAAAGGGAACCAAGTCCTTCTGTAGCAAGGATTAAGATATGGCTGGTGGGAACGTGTCTATCAGGGCAGCTTTCCATTTAAAAACAAATAAATTCTGGCACCATGGGTTCTGACAAAAGTCTAGACAGGAAAATATTGCCACAGCCATAAGATATTTTAGCTGATTTCACAAAAACACTTCTCTATATTAAAGTATTAAGAACAGAAACAGAAAAAGGAAAAAAAAAACATTCAAATTTCTCCAGGCCTTAACGTGTAATAGCAGCAAGTGCAAGCCCTGTAACCTTGTTGAGGCTGCTGAAAGCAGTTAGCCTTAAACATGTTTGTCCTGCATTAGCCCAGAAATGCTTTCTTAGTCATGCTTTGCAAGTCCAAGTGTGTGACAGGGACAAACCTCTCTAGTCAATGTACAGTCTGCTACTTAACTGAGCTTTACTGTAAGTTGTAGAATATGTTTAGGTGTTTGGGGTTTTTTGCCTTTTTTTCTAGGCTTTTTTTGATGGAAGTAATATAGGAGAAGGTTTAAGTTTTAGAGTCCTGGTTTGCTGTGGTCCAGGTTGGTAGAAATAGAGTCCAGAATAATGTGAGAGTGGCTTATTCCATTGCAGCAGAACCTGCTGGGTCTCAGTGGAGTATAATGCCAAGAAATTACCTGGTTGTAATTTGTATGTTGTGTCAGTGCCAGAGGCTAAAGTGTTGGCAGGGAAGGGTGTGGAGGGAAAACGGTAGAAGTATTACAATGAGCTTTAGTCAGCTGAGGTTGAACGTAGGGCTCCTCACGGGGGAAGCCTGGCTTATTAGGCAACATGATCTCTCCCTGTGAGATCATACATCAAAACAGGTTGAGCCATGTCTGCGGGCGTTACCCTGTGGAATTTGTAGATAGGGACAGGTTATACCTGCCAGTTCCAGGCACAAAGGCCAGTTATATTCTGCAGCTTCCAGAGGGAATAAGCCTCCTGAGGAGCACAGTTATTCTAATTTTCTTGTGGTAAGTCTACTGAAAAGAACTTATCTTTCTTCCTCTTCTCCACCCCTGTTCAAATCTCAGTTTCCCTAACAGCAAGGTGTGATGTGTGTGGTTTCCTTCATCAACAGGCACAGATATCACTGCTGAGATCACGATGGCATGGTGGAAGGCCTGGGTAAGTAATGAAAGTACTGAACTAAGACACCTTGGTTTCTTTGGCACTATAATAAGGTAATTTATCAGCTGCACCAGGCACTGTGTGGGAATGAAGTGTTTCCCCTTAAAAATCAATCCAAACCTGTTTATTCGTTTTCTGATTATGAAATAGCTTTTAGCGCTTCTAAAATCATGGCTAAGGAAGGTGCTAACGTGCTTCTGCCTTTAAGAAGACCAGGCTCCCCCCTACCCTGGAACTGAGTGGTGCAGGGTTATGGCTGTGTACCTTTGCGTAATGGGAATATGGCACTGGGGATTGGAGCAGCTGATGTCTGCATTAAGTTTAAATGCTGTGAGTTCCTTGTCCTCTTCTTCACCTCTGCAATCAGTTCAGGGCACTGGTTTGTCCCTGTTTGGTCCCAGTTGCTCTGGTAGGCTGTGGTCATGGAGGGAGATGTGGTCTGCCAAGCCGCTGTGTCTGTCTTCGGCGGCTTTTGAATGTTGGTGCAACAATGTGGATTTGGACACCCTGTCAGTCTGCTAGGAGCCAGAAATACCGTATTTGTTCTTTTCCAAACTCTTGTGGCTCTGGGAGGTGTGTGGTAGGCTGGGGATGCTCGTGAGTGCCCTGAAGAAGCGTCTCGCAAAGCTGAGGCCAGGAGGCAGTGCTAGGGTGAAGTGCCAGCTCTGCGGCCATCAAGGCAGCTCTCACATTAGCTTCTGTGGGAGGCTGGGTTTCCCTGGGATTTAACTCCAAATATCTAGAACTGAGGCCTGGAAGAGAGCTGCTGAAGAGTGACGTGTGATGGAGTGCAGCCTGTACACAGGGCTCCGTGGGCTTCTCTCTCCCCTGGGGCATTGCAGTCCTGATGCTGATGGCCTCCAAAGGACTTCTGCTGGTGAGACTGGCAGGAGCCCTGTGCCGGGGAGTGCAGGGAGCCATCCTACAGAGGAGAAATCACTTCACATGGATATGGCCACTTTTCAGGCTTTTATAGTTTTGTAGTTGAAAAGTGTGGGAGCCGGAGGGGGGGGGGGAACACCTAGAGGGCATGGAACACCAAGCTCATTCCAAACTACTTCCCAAGGCTTCTGGTAGAAAGCTCTCCCAATCTCAGGTGTTGAAGTTTTTTTGGTTTGTTATTTGTGGTTGTTTTTTTAACACTAAACTTGTTTTCCTTCTTGCTGATCTACCTCTACCTCCCTATTTCCTTTTGGAAGTTATTTTAGTAAAACAGATTATTTTTTAAAGCTTGGAGAAGCTCTCTTGCTTCATTTTTTCCCTTTCTGCTTGCTTGTGCCCCCCATTTTCCCCAGGCTGGAAATCATTTGAATATATATTGAGAAGAGGAGGAGAGCCATTGAGAGAATGTCTCTTATCTGTGATGTTGTGGGTAGGGAGATGAGAAGAGGAAATGGCAATGGAGGGGTGATAGAAATTTTTTTCCTTCTAAAAATCCTTCATAAAGAACACAATTCAAAAGCAAACAATGGAAAACTCAGAAGTTTACTGAAAAACAGTAATCCCACTTGTCATCTACATTTCGGGTTTTTGATTAACTGCTTTTCAAAGCATCAGCTGTAGGGTACACGTATTACATTGCTTTAGTGCCAGTTATTCATCTATGACTGGCACAAATGCTTTGAGTAGTTTCAGTTACATAGTTATAACATCAATCCTTCTGGAAAACAAGACCAAACTGAACAGGGTTTCTCTGGAAACCAATTGTGATCGTACCTGTGCTGGAACACAGCAGATCAGCCTATGAGTGAGTTATGAGTAAGCTACTTGAGCCAGCATGGGCTGTAATGTTCCTTACAATTAATATCAAAAAAGGACCATTGTTGATTTGTTTCTACTGCCTCCAAATGAAAGTTGAGCTTTGCACTGCCTCTCACCCTGAGTCACCAGGCACAGATCCAGAGCATTTTTGACGTGGGCCTTTGAGTGCAGCTAGAGAGAACTGTGCAGCTTTTTCAGAGCAAAATCAGACATGAGCATAACCTGCTTTCCAGGGAGATCTGCTGGTACTGGCTGATTTCACAGAGAAGCAGAAAAGGAGCACTTGCACTGGTCTTGCTAGGTCCATCAACCCACCTATTCTGAGCTTATATAAACATTTGGGGATGGCTTTTTTTGCAGTGACAGCTTCACTACAGCCTTAAGCTTGTTGCTCAGTAACGGGTGAAACTCAGAGCTGCATCTGGTTAGAAGTTTCCTGTTGATGCTGTCTCTTCCTTAGCAGCTCTCTCTGCCAGGAGCAGGGTGTGGTGGCACAGGAGGCTGACCCTGGGCTGCCTGAAAAGCAAACTTCAGCACATTGAAGGGTTCTTTCAGATCTTGCTCTTTGCTGAACGTACTGCTTCTCTCAAAGCTCATCATGAAAACACCTACCAGTTAAATCTACTAGTAGAGCACTGGAGATAAGTGTGAGCTTGAGTTGGCTTGCGAAAGCCATTCTGAGTGCCTATGCAGTGCAGTGTGACTATGTATTTAACTATGGCACAACAGTGTACGTGGTAGTTGTTGGCTCAGGAGTACCTGTTAGGAATCTTCCAGAGTCAGGAATGCAGGTCCTGAGAGAAATCTCCACCACCTTTTCTACCTGGCAAGGACTGCTTGAAGGTTAGCTCTAGGGAGGGCTTGAACATCCTCGAAGTGCACTAGGAGGAGAAGGGAAAAACATTCTGTCATGTAGGGAACAGGGGCAGGATGGGTTTGCAGCAGAGCAGGAGGTTGCTAGGTGGTGCCTGGAGTGTTATGCAAGTAAGGTGGGATAACCTTTGCAATTACTTCTGGTCCGTAAGCTCTGTTCTGAAGGTGCTTCTTACCTGTCTGCAAGAGTGTCCCTATAGGAAAGTTTATCAAGTCATCCTGGTATAATTAGTTCAATATTAATCATATCCATACAAGTCCATTTATGAGAACACTGCAGTTTTCTGGACAGCTTCCACTGCCAAGGAAAACTGTGTCCATTGCTGGAGTAAAGTGGTAAGGATTTATGACTAACCATTCACATACCTCCCTGTTGACAAACACTGTTGGTGGAAGTGTCAGTATATTCAAGCTCATTCCCTTGACTAATGGCTTTAGTTAAAGTGAAGCTCTTAATCCTGAGTTCTGGTTTATGACCTCGCTACTTTCTGGAATAAGTCTCAGTGCGTCTTTCTGCCCCTGGAAATTGTTTAAGGGTCTGTCTGGAGGGATCCTGTGTAGTTGGTTCTCAGCTTGGGGAGGAGATTTTTGTAACTGCACTTTGTCGGTTGGATTTTTTCCTTTAAAGCAACCTCTTAATCCAATTCCCTCCTGTAGAGGTCCTTTCTTTTGTAAAACAAGTTGTATTTGAGTGAAGGAACTGTAGAAAAAAGCTGCTGCCTAGGAAAGTGGTTTCTGAAAACATATGTATTTCACTAAGCCCAAAAGGCAGTGCTTTAAACCACTCTGTACTGAAGCACTGGAAAACAGTTCATGATAGCACTGTGGCAGACAGTATGCATGCTCTGCAGCAGTATAAAAAGGCTTGAATAGGAAAGTCCAGGATACTCTGTTTTTCTGCCAGACTACCTGCAGCTAATGATGGTTGCAACAGCACTTGACCTCGTTTTTCCTGCCAGGAGCCAGAGGCTGATACAGGCAGGTGGAGGCAAGAAACTTGAGTGTACAGTCTAAAATACCTTCTCTTCAGGTGCTGAAAAGCAGCCAAAAGTATTTTTCTTATTTTTCAGAGTGAAGAGGAGGGCAAGCCTGTGATAGGGGTGTATTCAAACTTTGACCCTGCACCTGATGCTCAAACTCTCTACAAGGCTATGAAAGGGCTTGGTGAGTTGACTCCATCCACATGTGTGAATTCTGTGTTTATGATTTCTCAGATGAATGCCATTCCTTAAGAGAACTGCAGACAGATGACACATAAAATGTGGAAAATTCAAAATTAATTAAAAAATTCTACAAGACATATTTGAAATTTCACATCATGAAGGCAATAAACAAGGGAAGGCTCTGTGATTACTTGAACTGAGATTATTATTATTGTGTGCACTGTGTTTATGACTTATTGTTGCTCTCCATAGGGACTGATGAACAAGCTATAATTGAAGTCCTAACCAAGAGGAGCAACAGGCAGCGGCAAGAGATTGCCAAATCCTTCAAAGCACAGTTTGGAAAGGTGCTCCCAAAACAAAGCTGTATTCAGTCACTGTTTCACTGTGTGTGGGATGTAGTAAATGGGTGTACAGTTGATCTTGCAGGCATGGTGTAAACAACATACAGATCTTTTTCAAATAGGATAATGTTTAATTATAGGGCCTGAGGTGAATAAGTGAAATTTATTTTTGGTGGGATAAACTGGTTCCCCCCCAGAGATTCTAATTTTCGCATGTAAGATGTTTTGAATGGAATATTTTTTGGGAAAAAAAAAACCAAACAAACAAACAATTTTGACTTATACTGTAAATTCTTTTGGTTTTAAACCCATAACAAAAATTTATACTTTATTAAATTGCCTTTTGAGTAGAATATTGGGTTGGTTTGGGGCTCTTTTAAATGATGAAGGAAGTTCAATTTAAATATTTCATTACATTTATTTGAAAGCTCTAAAAATGAAAACATACTGCAGTTATTGACACCTCTGTTTTTATGTGGCTGTCTTTCCATCTTTGATAAAATATTTGTGGTAGAAAATTTTTGTGCTGCAAACTCCTCCCAGTACAGAGCCAATTGTGTGAGAGTTGCATCTCAAGGAGTGGGGGAAGGGAATGTCTTCGAAAAGAACAATATAGGCTATTGGGTCAGTATAGAAATGAGAATCACCGATGACCTTGTTAGAAAAGGAACTGCCTTGCAGTGATCTAAGAGAAGGAAGTAAACGTGTACATGGCTGAGTACAGGACAACAAATAGAATGCTTGCATCCCATGTATCCTTTAAAACAGAGTAAGTCATACCCTAAAAACCTATATTATAATGGCAGGAAGATTTGAAGCCTGTCCTTAAATGGGCTGCATGCTAGATTCTGTAGAAGTCCTGGATGCATGTGCAGGCTTTAGATATTGTCGATGTCCCTTCCTCAGTTCAAGGCCCTCAGTTGCCTCTTCTGCTCCTTGTCTAAAGCAGATTAGAGGAACTTCTTTCTTTCTACTCTGGTGCTGAATTAATTATATCTGGAAGAAGTTAGAGCACTGGAGTAGCAAAAAATGTGATTTATATCAGGTGTGAATTGTATCAGGAAACTCTTCTTTACAGAATGTAGTCAGGATGTGGTGCTCAGGGACATGATTTAGTGGAGGATTGTTAGAGTTAGGGTAGTGTGGTTAGGTCATGGTTGGACTCGATGGTTTTTAATGTCTTTTCCAACCTGAGAGATTCTATGATTCTATTCTATGTGGATGGACCTAGGAAAAATTCATTGTGGAGTTGGGTGTCCTTTCCAGCCTCAAGATCTCTTCTCAAAAAAACTATAAGCACTGATGTCATTCAGCTTCACGGATGTAGGTCATGGGGATGGAAATAGCACTAGGCAGTAGAGATTTTTTGAGGCTCATAATGTGACTCTTGTCTGTTCAACAGGATCTGATTGACAGCCTGAGATCTGAACTGAGTGGCGACTTTGAGAGGCTCATGGTAGCTCTCATGTACCCCCCATACAAATATGAAGCCAAGGAGCTGTATGATGCCATGAAGGTAAGACAATTGCAGTCTGGTACTTTGGTAGTGTAGGTCAAGTACTAACTTCCTGTAACTGTGTTTATTAATGCAAATGATAGTAACTAGACTAGTAGGTGATTAAGTTCATTATCAACAGTACCCTTTGAGAAATACTTTGTTGTACTATCAGTGTATATTCAAAATACTGCTGGGCTATTTTAGGATGTATGTGAGTTTCTGAGCGCATATGTCTCAGAGTCTGGGTAAGACAACAGAAGAACCAATTCTCCTTTGGCAACAGATGAATATCCATAGATGAGATTCCAGCTAAACATCTCTTCTACTTTCTGCAGTGTGACTCTTGTGAACAGACTCAATGACCTTGGGCCTAAGCTACTGCCATGATACCCCCATCTGAGGAGATAAACCTTTAAGAAATCAAATAAATTGATTTCTTCAAAGAAAATGAGATTTCTTGGGATCTTACCTATTGGCACAGTATCTTTTAGTGGTGTAAGGACGGACTCAGTAGACAAGCATTGGTATCCCCACATCCCTCTAATATGGCTCATCATCAAAGGTCCAGGTCCATAAATGTGCTACAGAAGGACAGGGTTACATAAAATCATCCTTCACAAACTGAAGTAAATGGTTCTGCATCCAAGCCAAACATGCTTTGTGTCTCCAACCTTCATGCTGGCAGTTTCTAACAGCTCAGCATGCAGCCTGACATTTTGCTGCCATCAGACTCCTCATTTGACCATCTTTCTCTACCTTTTTCTCCACTGTGTTTTCCACTAAAGGGTGTGGGAACAAGTGAAGATGTTATCATAGAGATCCTGGCATCACGAACAAAGGCGCAGATCAAAGAGATTATCAAGGCATACAAAGAAGGTAAAGTGCTTGAGGCTCTGATTTATGTGGTCAGAGCAATGTGCTGCCTGATTGCGCAGCAGCAGGGGTGTTACCAGCTAGCAGTGTCAGCAGGAAAATGGGATTTTAAGAGCAAGAAGGTACAACCTGACTGCCTTCAGCCTGCCAAACAGAATGTAGCTAAGCTGAGTGAATCTGAAACTCCCTTTCTTCTAGTCAGAAGAAAAGGACAGCAAATCACAAATTCTGTTTGTGGTGCCAAGCCCAATGTTGTTAGGATGCAAATAAAACTTACAGCTATCCTCTAGTGGTTTTTTTTCTCTCTCAGTTGGGCTGTAGGTAGAAATCTATCAATTGTTTGTAACTCTTGAAGTATATGCCTAGCATCAGTTATGGGTTTACACCTTTGTCACTGGAGCTGGGAATGCCTGTCTGAGTGTTGCTGAGGGTATATGCTGATCTCAGTCTGCATTTCCACCAGCAACTTTCTTGACTAGTGTCAGGCTGTTGTAGGTACTTATGTAACACCCAAATAAACACTTCCATCGTCTTTCTCTTTTCCTTGCATAGAATACGGTTCTGATCTGGAACAAGACATAGCATCGGAAACAAGTGGCTACTTCAAACAGATTCTAGTTTGCCTTCTTCAGGTGATTTTAGAAAAAAAGATGTTCACACTTTTCTCTGCCTTGGAGAAGACATGCAATAGAGTGGACAATGCAGTCATGACCATCACAAACTATGGGGGCATACATGTCACTTGGACTGGTTCTCTGTGTTTTCAACTTCAATGTGACTGAGACAGGGAACTCTCCCTTAGCAGCAAAGCCTAAGAACTGAGAACAGTCAGCTGTGCTGCAGGGAAACACCTCACTTTTACATATGCATAAAGTCTCTATATTTTACAGGGACTTTTAGATATCTATACATTAAAAAAAAAAAAAAAGCAACTACAGAAAAGCAGTTCTCTTTATGATTCATCACTATTCCTCAATGCTGAGAGCATATTTGGATGCATTTATCCTATTGAATTTTTTAAATTTTCCTGCCCAGCAGCAGAATAACTTAGCAACTTCTTGGTTTTACTTAATATTACTGATTTTTTTAGTCAAGAAGTTAGCAATCATATTGACTGAAACATTAACAAATAAGTGCCCTGCGAAAATAGCTGAGAAAAAATAATCTGTCTAGTATTTAATCTGTCTTCATTGCATGGAAGATAACTACCTGCTTTCTTCCCATAGGGTGAGAGGGACAATGCCTCTCTCTATGTGGATTCAGCATTGGCTCGCCAGGATGCAGAGGTACACTCAAATGCCTATGATCAGTGATATGCTTGCATCTCACCTGTCCTGAATCTCAGAGGTGACGGAGTTCCGATTAGCATGGGGTTGGAGCAATAATATCTGGGAGAGGGATTGTCCTGAAGAAGCAGCAGCAGCCTTGGTTTCTTCAGATTTGCCTGCACTGCTGAGCCTTTCTGATCCTAAGAGGAGTGATGAAAAATGGTCTCGGGCTCAGTTGCTTTTGATATGTGGAAACACATGGGCATTGTGGAGTGGGATGTTGAAGGGCAGGGAAGAAACTTCAGTAGCACTGTTGGCTGCTATAATTGCTGCAGGAAGGGTGGAGACAGTAACTGCCTTCACTAGAAGACACAGCCAAGGGTCTACAGTCAACTACTCCAGGAGAATCCAGTTCATATAATATTTTAGGTTACTTCAGGCCATGTTACCAAAGCAATATCTTTAGTCAAACTCTATTCCTTTACCAGCTGCATGCACAGAAAAAGTAATGATAATGTGTTAAATCACAGGCTCTCTTTTCTGCTGGGGAGAAGATAAAGGGCACTGATGAGATACAGTTCATCACTATTCTGTGCAAGAGGAGTGCTACACACTTGCTGAAAGGTATGAAGCAGGCCATGCTGCCAAGCTTCTAAAACAGGAAAAAATTCTTGCCAAAAACAAGAGGCAGAGCTATAGATGTCAAAACCTGGGTGGTCAGAAATAATCACTTTAATCTGTCTACAAATCCTTGGCTAATCAGTGCCCAAAAGCTGTCAGCAGCTTCTGTGAGAGCTTATGAAGACTTAGTGCCCCTGATAATCAGATTGCTTATATAGGAGTTCTGATACAGTAGCAATGGCTAGATGATAAAGTTGTTTTTATAAGCCCAAGGAGAGAGTCCCTTTCTGACCAGGTAGGATGCACTCCTACCTGGACGTGCTCTTATGATTCCTTGACTTGAGTTCCTCTGGGGATAAAAAAAAAAAGTCAATGATAAGGCCTGTTATTGTGCTGTAGAACCACAGGGTGCTTCTTGCAGCTTTCCCCTGGATTCTTTTGAGACCATCAGATATTGCTTGGGAGGAAAGTTACTAACCCAGCTCCAGTTAAGGGGGATCTCAGGTCCGCATTGCCTCAACCAGAAGAGACTTGGTCTTGTCATCTCAAGACTTCTGAGTCAATCCAAGGCTCTGACTTGGATTTTGTTATGTATGCTGAACCTAAGCACTTCAGCAGCTTCATTGATAAATTCATCTGTTGATGCCTGAGCATTCTCAAGCTGAAGTCTTCTGAGACAGTCTTCTAGCCCCTGGAGGCCAGCTCCCTCTGTGTTTTCAAACTTAATTTCCCAACAGCTCTGAAAAAAATGAGGTGGCTTCTCGTCTTTGACTGTGCTTGCCTTTAAGAACTGATTTGCAACAGTTGGTTCAGATGCAGCCAACCTTTGAGGCACACTCAATCATTAAGGAAATGAATCTAATTTCCTTCTGGGCTTGTCTAATGCTGACTGAAATTGGTTCAAGTGTGGCCATTTCAGAGGGATTTCTGTTTTCATAGAACCATAGAATTGCTTAGGTTGGAAAGACCTTAAAGATTGAGTCCAATCACAACCTAACCATACTACCCAAACTAACAACCCTCTGCTAAATCATGTCCCTGAGCACAGCATCGTATCACCACACAAGCAATACCTCTGAATATTGGGCAAAAAATGCCTGAGCAGTTGTTTGGTGGAAATTCAAAGCGCTTTGTGTTTTAAACAGTGTTTGAAGAATACCAGAAACTTGCTGGTAAAAGCATAGAAGACAGTATCAAGAGTGAAACTAAAGGCTCACTAGAGGATGCTATGCTGGCTATTGGTAAGTGCCCTCTTTGCCTTTCTTTAGTCCAAGCTTGTTGTCTTTCCTCCTGCAGCAGCTGACAACTATTACATAGATATACCTTATAAAGCTTTCTAGTGGGAAATAAAGGGCCCCTAGGAAATGAGCTAAGGACAGGCTGAATGACTGGAAATGGTGTTGAATCTGCTGCTTTGGACTGCAATTACTATTGATTCTTACTGAGCCTTTTTATATGCCTAGTGAGATGCACAAGAAACATCCGTCAGTACTTCGCAGAGAGGCTGTATCATGCTTTAAAGGTAAGACTTTTTATTGCAAAAAACTTTTTTTTTGTCATAACAGACTCAACTGCAGTTTGGCTCCTGCCAATGCCATTTAGAAGAGCCAGTGTTGTGGGGAAGTCCAACAAATTTAAGAGATTTTCTTTGCAACGATAGCAGAATTCCTTCATACACCTGGGTGGAAAAGTACGCTTCAAGCTTGAGATAGCAAGGAAATCAATCTTTTCTAGCTTAGGAGTTTGTGAGGATCCCAGTCTCACCTTCTGTAACATGAAAAAAAAATTGTGGAAGAAGCCCCAGAACAGTCTGCAAGAGCTTATCCCTTGAATGCTTACTAACACTGCAGACTGATGTATCTGTTATTCCAGGGGGCTGGCACAGATGATGGGACCCTTATAAGGGTGATTGTTTCTCGAAATGAAGTTGACTTAAATCTTATTAAGGATGAATTCAAGCGAATTGCAGGACAGCCTCTCTCCAGCATGATTGTGGTAAGCAACATCTTGATACGATGGTTCTTAGTCATTGTGTGCATTCCTTACCTGCCCAATACCATGGGATGCTTCCATGGTAGTTTCTTCAGTAAAAATATATTTCTGTAAAGTTCACAGTTCTTCTTTATATATATATATAAAAATTATATGAAAGTTGAGTGTGTGTGTGTGTGTGTGTGTGTGTGTATATATATATATATACACTTCATATATATATATATATATTTCATATATATATTTTTTTTTTTCATATATATATATATTTATATATATATGAAAGTTGAGTCAGACTCTGTACTCTGTAGGTAACTTCGGCAAAGCCAAACCCGAGGAAAGACTGTTCTAGGCTTTTTATGTATACTTCACTGTCTCTTAAATGAATCCTAAATTCATCTAATCTTCCTCTTTATACCTTTCTCATGCTGGTATGCCATTTTTGCTTCTCTGCTGTTCTTAACTATTTTAAGCAGTGTGATATAAGTCAAAGCAGTTGTGATTTTTTTTCTTTTTATGATTATTTACCACCACATGCAGACCTGGTCCATGTTGTGGTAAGATAAGTTTATAATTATAAACCAAACTTTGTCAAAGCTTACTGTTATCTTCTAGGGTTTGGTTCTTAATGAATGACCCTTCCCTGGCAAAAAGCTATGTTTTCTATTAGGGCTGAAATGTTGGGTTTTATCATTTGCTAAATAATTTGCTAGATAAGGACTCTGGGGCATTTCTTTCCCCTAGTGCAAATGGCACAAGAGCCCTATCCTTATCAGTCCCTATGGGAAGTCAAATTCTATAATGAAGATCCTTTCTTCTAATTGACACTGTCAGTGTCTGTCATGTTGATTAATGATCAGTTTTCAAGGGTCTGTATGGAATACTCGTTCCTTCTGAGAAGCTGAAATGGCTTTACACCTGTCACCACAAAATATTCAAAGGGAGAAAAAATTCTACCTCAGGATGTGCTCTGCAGTACTTTAGACCAAAGTGACCATATCTGTGGCTTTCTTAAAAATGTCCTTTCTCAGGGCTAACTTCCTTTTCCTTTTCTGTAAGGGAGGGAACACTACATGAATACCCTGAACACAAGTCTTGGTATCTCTCCTGATCTGTGGAATGGAACCCTCATCAGTTGATCACCAGGATTCCGAATAGAATACTTCATAAATGTTTTGGCTTTTTTTTTCCAGGCAGAAGCTACGGACTTCATTTCTCTGTTCACTTCTGATGGTTTCAGCTGGCTGAAAGTCTGGTTTTCTCTTTCCAAAGTGTTTTTCTTGTTGGGGGCATGTTCCATCCATTGATAAAGGCAGCAGTCAGCTTGAACTGGAGGACTTTCATGCTCACCTTTTTTTTTTTTTTTCTCCTGCCAGGATGACACCAGTGGTGATTACAAGACAGCCTTGCTGAATATCTGTGGCAGTGACTGACAAGATCTAGAAAGAAGATGTTGAAATGGATACAAAGAGAAAATTACATTTTCAGGCACCTCTTCATTTACATGTAGAAAATCTTTGCATTGTCGGAGAAAATGACCAAACTGAAGATATTCAGAGCTCCCTGAGGGCATGGTTGCTCAGTACACATTAAAATCTGTTCACTTTGCTATCAGTTTTAGAAACTCTTCCAATTATGTTTGTTTTTTCTTCAGCTTCTATTTCAATCTGTGTAGTTTCCCTTTTAACACATTGTAAAGGGAAGAAGTTTCTAATCCTTGAAGTGCTTGTTTCTGGCATTTATCCTGGTTTCTCACCTGGGCTAAAATGTGTTTTTTCAGTCTGAATAGCAAGGAGGGTTTCCTCACTTAGTCTTTGGAGTATGAGGGCCAGATGCACAATTAAATGATCCTCAGGAGCATTCTGCTCCAGGTGCTTTGTCCTGGCCTCCTTCACCTGTCAAATCTGATGAACACAGTCAACACAAGATGAGGTTTAAACAACCTTTAGGTCAGATACCAACCATAAGCTGATGAACATGTTCCTCAAGTACCACCCAGATATCCTGAGGCACGGCAGAATTAAGGCTTTCAAGAAGCACGTATCTGATTTGCTACACTTGGTCTTGTGTATCTTTTATCCGTTTTCCACGTTCCACCTGAACAAGCAGCTCTGGCACAGGGACAGATTTCTTCTATGAACCCCCTGATTCTGCCTTGTGTGATGCCACTCTGGTGTCTATCTAGGGCTGGCCAATCAAGAAGTTGGGCTGAGGAAAACTTTGTTATGAGTAATAAGGAGGTGTTTAGAGGGATAGATTTTTCTTTTAAATGGGAATGATGCATATCTTTGTGGTTTGGGGAGAAAAAAGTATTTTTGGTAAATATGATGTCTTAGCTAAAACAAAAATGACTTCTAATAAATAGTTTTAAGCAAAGTACAAAATTTCTTCACAGTATAATTTTCAGTGGCCTGGTTGCTGATTACATGTTCTTTCTGCTAAAGCCTCTTCCTTCTAACATCAGAAGTGTCGTATGCAAATGCATATCATACATTGAAAAGGGAAAAGTTTTTCTTTTTCTTGAAAAAAAATATTTACTCATGCTGAGTCATAAACATCCTGGTTGCTACTGGTGAGTAAGTAGCTTTTTGGTTGTTTTTACAGATGTTGGGAAAAGAGAAAATTGCCTTCAATGAATATCTCTGAACTTCCTGGTAGTTTTATATTGCAGGATTTTTTTTTTGCCTCAGTGCACTTAACTATGCTGCTGTTATTCACTGATGCTACTGATTGATTGTAAGTGCAAGGTCTACAGTTTTGTATTGCCTAACCTCTTCTGGAATATTTTTAGTCCTCGGGCCACTTTGTAGGAGAAGGGCACTGTTCATACAGTTTTAGGGCAAGCTCCGCTAGCACTTGGGCCCTGAGTGCTGGAGGAAAGGGTTTTGTATTTCCAGTTAACGCTTCCAAATGCACCTCTGGCCGCTTTCAGGAGAGCAGGGTTGGGAGCTGCGGGCAGCTGAAACGCACCCCCTCAATTCTGCTGGCTGCGGGGATAGCCGTGCTTGCAGCGCCACCTGGCGGGGGGCGGCCGCGCTGCAGCACGGGCCTGGGGCCGCTCCGACAGCCACCCGCGGGGAGGCGGCCAGCGCCCGGCCAGCCCTCGTGAGCCGGGGTGGGAGGTGCTTCCGTGTCATCGTGGCCCCCATTTCTCAACGGCAGCTGAGGGAGGGATGAGGTGAGGAACCCGTAGCTTGCAGGTGATCCGGGAGTAGTTCTGGAAAGGAGGAACCGCTGAGGGAAGTTCATTCTATCGACGTAATTGCTGGGAAACAAAACAATTGTAAAACATCAATAAAGATTTAATTACATATTGATTGCTGCTAAAATGTTCCCCGGGTGAACAGGTGCTTTAATAAAGCGGAATCAATTCCTAAGCTGTTCTAACCAGTCTTTTCCAAACGCAAATATTGACTCAGGGTCTTTCTATTCATTCACAGTTTAAGTAACACGATTTTGTTGAACAAAAAAATCAAGATAAACGCTTGGCAAAGCAAAACACAATGCAGTCTGTGACAGGGGGACAGTAAGAAATGCCCGAGCCTGATGCTTGCCTTCTGTTGCCTGCATGCCAGCCCTCCTCCAGCCTGCTGGCTGCCCGTGCTGCTGGCAGAGCTGAGTGCTTGGAGCTGGGGGCTGCCCCCTGCACCTTGCTGTGCAGTGGAGCCTTGACCCTGCCTGGCTGGAGGCTGCAGGTGCTGCAGCTCTCTGCTCGTCTCACACCTGTATGTGTGTACTGATAAGCTGACTGCAGCTGTCAGTGCTGTTCCCGATCCCGAGGAAAGCTTGCAAAAATCTGTTCAAGTTGTGATGTCTATCTGTGCAAGCTGAAGAATGCCTAACCCTCAAACGCTCAGATTCTGGAGGAAGGTAGCTGTTGTTTGAGCATCCTGGAGTGTATGTGTCCTAGAAGCCCAAAGAATGACTGCAGGATCCCCAGGTGGTGGCCAGCCACAGGCAACAGTGGTCTCATTGCTGGGACTTCTGGAGAGATGAAGAAAACATTGTGTTGTCCTGGCTTTATTTGCACCTCTGTTTTGCATCAGTTTTGGAGTCATTTGGTGGTAAAATGTTTTTAAGTGTTCAAACAGAGATTAGTAAAGCCACTGTCAGAAAGTGAAATAAGTGAACAGGGAGTAGGGAAAGTGAGAGCTCTATTTCCCATCTTCCTACCCTTAATATTTAATTTAATAAAGTTTTGTGTAAGGAAACACTTGAAAAGGATGTTCAGTCTTCCTGGAGTTCCTTCTCCAGCAGTTCTTGGAGGTACCCCAGGGGTGGTGTGTGGTTCTGAGCTGGAGGGAAAGGCCACAGATGAGGCACCAGAGCTGGGTTCTGTGGGGCACCCCAAGCAGTGCTTCTGCTCAGAGCACAGGGTTAGCTAAAATGCAGACACATCTCATGACCAGCACAGTGTACAGGGAGCAACATGGGGACATGGGTCATACTAGCATGGACAGCTGCTTTGGTCACTATGAGCAGGGCAGAAGGGAGGTCTGAAGGGAGGGTGTCCTCCATGCTGAGCAAAACACTGCTTTTCTGAATGAAAATGTGATTTTTTATTGTTAACTTCATAAATTCATGGGAAATTAGCGTTGATTTGTTAATGTAGTTTGCTGTGATGAGAAACTAGTGCCTGCCACAAGCATCTAGATGATGGAGTCTGTTAGTGTTGAGGATCTCTTGAAGAGTCTCTTTTGCTGGCAAGTTCACTACCTGTTGACAAAACTGCACTACTTTCTTGTGGCTTATTAGAAGGTATCTCCCTTGCAGGGAAGATAATATTAACCTGTGAGCTGCAAAGGTGAGACTGCACCAAAGACACAGCATGTTTTACTTCAGCCTCTGCCCTGTACCCAAATGCCTGAGCTGACTCCAAAGACTCTTCAGTCTTGTAGCAGTCAGGGTCAGTAAGTTCAGTACATCCCTGTGCTGGGGAAACCACAGCAGCAGTATGGAGATGTTTTGTTGAATGCAGTGCAGTGACCTCCTCTCCTCAGACCACATGTAAACAAGAGGGCCACTCCGATCTCCACCATTCCCATCACTGCAAACAATACTGGGCTTGTAAGCAGTTGTTCATTCTTCTGGTGTCATACATTTGAACTCAAAGGACTCATCCCTGAGTTTCCCAGAAATTATCAGTAGAAAATTTGTTGTTTACTAAAAAAACCTTACGTTAAGCTGCAGAAAATAAATTAAAAAATCATAGTTTGTGATTTATGTCTGACTGCCGTCTCAGAAGATGACAAAAACAGTCAGCCCTGGGGACCTGAGCTCCTGTCTGTTTGGAGGAAAGTGTGATTAGTTCAAGCTGTGCTTCTGTTTTCCCAATATCCCTTCCTGTTCCAAATCTCAATTAGTCCATGTATCTGCATCATGCCTCGGATTACTTGCATCCTTCAGAGGCTTGGGACTGACATTTCGGACCAAAAATTGTGCACCCAGTACCTAAGAGTGGCACTGGTATGGGAGTTCAAGTCTCCTAGAGACTATCTCCTAATACTTAGTATTTGAAACTAGAAGAATGTATATGGTGACATTTTATCTATGGCATAGAAGTCATAAAGATGCATCTGAGTGGTTTTGTAATCCTGAGAAACCTTTTCTGCATTATTTGCTAGATAAAAGTACTTACTTTTATCTAGCAAACTTACTTACTTACTACGGAAATGCAGATTTCCATGTACATGCAGGAATCTAACACTGGAGAAATAAATAGCTCTGGAACACAGAGAGGAACCAGTATTGTTCACTCTGTGGTAATGAAGAACAGGATATGTTGTAGGCACAGTATTATTAATAAATAGTGAGCAATGCAATACAAATCTGTAATTCAATTTAGGATTTCAGCTCAAATTGTTCTTTGGAGTTACAGATGACAGTAAGCTTTGAAATTGAGTTACAGTCCAAGCAGGAACTGAGTCATGTGTGGCAATGTTCTAGAGAAGCTTACAATCACAGTCTGGAGTGGGCAAAACATCACTGAGAGCAGTATATTCACTGAAAAAATGGCATCTGGGGGACGTAAATTAAATTGAACTTATAAATAAATGTCAGACAGTAAAAGAGGGAAAAGTGAAAGTCAACATTTCCATATATTGATTTTAAAATGGCAACTTTATTTTAGAAAGTTAAAAAGCAATTATTTAAAGGTTTCATTAATCTGAACCTGAGATATGACATTTGGAGAAGAAAACACTACTTCACTTTGCATCAGAATATGTTTGGCTTTTTTTGTGTGTTTGGTTTTGTGTTTTTTTTTTTACTTTCCTAAAAATCTCCTAATTTTCTATTTTAATATAAGCCAACTCATCTCAGTTTTCCTTCAGTTCTGTGGCTCAGTCACTGAGCTGAAAGATCCCTTATTATTTTTGCTGTAAAATTGGCTGATATTCTTCATAAGAGAGGAAAGAGTCCTTGCTTTTAAATTCACAAGCTGTCTTCTCTAGCAGAAAAGACATAGTGAGGACTAAATTCTGGATGATTTTAAACAGGAAAAGCAGACCACAGAGGAGCTGGAAAGGAAAGAAAGAGGAAGAGTACAGCTGATGTCAACCTCTAGCTTTGCCAGATTAAATGCTATGAAGTGTATCAGAATCACCAAACAGCTCTTTTGTCTTCCCATGATAGTTGGTTATTTTCTCCTTTCCACACATTCCAGATTTTTCACCTTAACCAGATGTGACTTATTAGCTATTTAATAAAAGTTTTCCTAACCTGAAATACTAAAATATTCATTCAACACTCTGCTCGCTGACTCTCTAGACTCAAAAAAAAAGTTTCCTTCACAAATGAACAGAAATACCACTTTTACTGAGATCATACCAGTCATTCACATTAATTGAAGGAATTACTGCTTCAATGTGACAAGATCTCACGTCATTTCCATGCCGCCACCACCTCAGCCTTAGCTCTCTCCATGCAGGCAAGGCCAGCAAGCATTTCTGAGTCCCTGCATTGCACATGAAATGTGTGGGGCTGAAATAAAAGATGTTCTGCAGAATCTGAAAATCATTATGTAAATCCATTTATTTCTCAGTGCTTCTCATGCTTCTGGGACTGAAAGAAAATCCCTGTTCAAGGTAGTTTTCAGCTCTGCAGATGTGATAGTTCTGTATTTCTAAGCCAGAGCTGCCTCACCATGAGCAATGTGCTAACTGTAAAAGCCAAGCTGAGATAGATCTTCACTTCCTAGGACTGCTTGTAATGAGGCCAAATTGATTAATTTCAGGAAAGAGTTCAAATGCCATGGTGCAAGCTGTTAAATAAATAGCATTTTCAGAGCAGCAAATAACAAGACCTGTTTCTTCTGAAGCACCAGATATCACGTAGAGTAAGAAACTGGTGATCCAATATGATACAGCTTGTAAGCACCAAACTAAGTCTCTAGTTCTCTTCTTTTTTTATTTATCTAGTTCATCCTGAAAGAAATAAATCCACAGCCACATTACTTGCTTTTTTTCCTGCCAAGTAACCTTGTAGGGCTGGTCTTACAGCCTAGGACCTTGAAATCCAGTCTAAATTCAAAGAGCTTGACAAGCTCATCTGTCTTCATGTATGCAATCATCTGAGTAACAGCTGTTTCCCAAAGGAAATGAGACCTGACAAAAAGCTGGAAGAGCTGCTGGTGTGTGGTTTTTTA